AAACATCAGCCAGGAAGCATAGGAATTGAGAAGTGGTCTGTGGTCACCACCTGCATAACCACTTCTTTATTGGGGGTGTCTTGCTAATTGCCTATAATTTCCACCTGTTGTCTATTCCATTTGCACAACAGCATGTGAAATGTATTGTCAATCAGTGTTGCTTCCTAAGTGGACAGTTTGATTTCACAGAAGTGTGATTGACTTGGAGTTACATTGTAAGTGTTCCCTTTATTTTTTTTGAGCAGTGTATGTTGTCTTGCCCATTCACCTTCTGAATGGCACACATACACAATCCATGTCTCAATTGTCTCAAGGATTAAAAATCCTTCTTTAACCTGTCTCCTCCCCTTCATCTACACTGATTTAAGTTGATTTAACAGGTGACATCAATAAGGGATCATACCTTTCACCTGGATTCACCTGGTCAGTCTATGTCATGGAAAGAGCAAGTGTTCCGAATGTTTTGTACACTAGTATATAAGAATCTTTAGGGGTGCCAACAATATTGACACCTATCTTTTTGAGAGAAAAGTATATATTACATGTTAAACAAAATCTATCTCTAAGCAATTGTATTAGTATAAAATAAATTAATTTTCAAATTTTTTGGACCATACAATATAGCTCAGTTTTTTTGGTATTTATTTTATACAGTGTTTTTTGCTAATCTTTATCAAGGGTGCCAATAATTTGGGAGGTGACTGTAGTAGTATAAATGACAAAATTATTAAAAGACATTATGTACTATTGAAAATTACCTGTGTGTTCTATTGTGGTTCTGTAGGAAAAATAAACAAATAAAAATAAAGTATTTGTTACATAACAACCTGTGACTGTTTCTGTGTGACTGTTTCCAACGATAATCTTTCACCTTCACTAGTAGGCATACTATCATCAATAGAAAGCAAAATCAGTGTAGCCTCTTATCTAATAGGAATCCATTTATTTCTAATTCTACGCCAAACTCCAACATTACTCTTTTACTCCTTTTTAATGCCTGGAACAGGGATGAGTTTTTGGATGTTTGAAGGATTTCCACATGCAACAAAAACAACAGTGTAACTTTGGACATTTCCCTCGACACACAATCAACAACAAACAGGTCCAAATTTGGTTTGATTAAAACAGCCTAATGTTTAATGTTTAAGTTGCGATGTATTTGAAAAAGTTAACATGACATACCTTGTAGCCTTGTGGTTCTTGCCAGTTGATCTGTTTGATTATGAGAGAAAGTCAAACTTACAGCGAGTGAAGAGGTGGTAGCCGTAAATATAGTACCTCTATGGTGGTAGCATGATGACGTTTATTTCATTACAGTCAAGAGTGAGTGATCTCAGAGAACGAGAAAGGGGTAGCTGCAGCCCAATATGGCGACCGGAGTATGGGCAAGTGGGTGTGTCGAAATGAAAGCAGTGGGCGTGTGGAAAGGAGTTGGTGTACTGAAAGGAATGTGTGTGTCGAAAGCGCTCTGCTGTAGAGGTGTGATTAAGCTGTGTTTTTTTCTCCTTCTGTTTCTAACCACGGAACTACCGTATATTGAGCTACCATACTGCAAGAGTTTGGACTTCTGTTTTGAAACCAGAGGATGAATCTGAGCTGTATTTCACTGTTAGTTTTATACAAAAAATTGTCAATGTTCAGTTATAAAACTGACCATTGATTATTTTTTAATAAAAGTACTGATGATGGGTGTACTGTTGCTTCATCTGTTGTATGCGTGTGCTTACGGTGACTGTCACACTTATATTGACTACTAGGTAGCTACTTTCCACGCTGTTGCCGGACAGTAGTGCTTGTCAAGCGGGAGCGAAAGGCACTGTGTCCCGGTGTTGTTGCTGTACATGCTCTCCCCATTGAGTAGTAGACTGTATGTACAGTTGAAGTCGGAAGTTTACATATACTTAGGTTGGAGTCATTAAAACTCGTTTTTCAACCACTCCACACATTTCTTGTAAACAAACTATAGTTTTGGCAAGTTGATTAGGACATCTACTTTGTGCATGACACAAGTAATTTTCACAACAATTGTTTACAGACAGATTATTTCACTTATAATTCACTGTATCACAATTCCAGTGGGTCAGAAGTTTACATACACTAAGTTGACTCTGCCTTTAAACAGCTTGGAAAATTCCAGAAAATGATGTCATTTGAGACAATTGGAGGTGTACCTGTTGGAGGTGTACCTGTGGATGTACTTCAAGGCCTTCCTTCAAATGCAGTGCCTCTTAGCTTGACATCATGGGAAAATCAAAAGAAATCAGCAAAGACCTCAGAAAAAAATGAATAGACCTCCACAAGTCTGGTTCAGTTGTGGCAAAATGGCTTAAGGACAACAAAGTCAAGGTATTGGAGTGGCCATCACAAAGCCCTGACCTCAATCCTATAGAATATTTGTGGGCAGAACTGAAAAAGCGTGTGTGAGCAAGGAGGCCTACAAACCTGACTCCGTTACACCAGCTCTGTCAGGAGGAATGGGCCAAAATTCACCCAACTTATTGTGGGAAGCTTGTGGAAGGCTACCCAATACGTTTGACCCAAGTTAAACAATTTCAAGGCAATGCTACCAAATACTAATTGAGTGTATGTAAACTTCTGACCCAATGAGAATGTGATGAAATAAATAAAAGCTGAAATAAATCATTCTCTCTACTATTATTCTGACATTTCACATTCTTAAAATAAAGTGGTGATCCTAACTGACCTAATACGATGAATTTTTACCATGATTAAATGTCAGGAATTGTGAAAAACTGAGTTTAAATGTATTTGGCTAAAGTGTATGTAAACTTCTGACTGGAGAGTTCATTCGGAAAGTATTCAGACCTCTTGACTTTTTCCACATTTTGTTACATTACAGCCTTGTCCTCATCAATCTACACACAACACCCCATAATGACCAAGCGTTTGCAAATGTATTAAAAATAAAAAACAAAAATGTACATAGGTATTCAGACCCTTTAATATGAGACTCGAAATTGAGCTCAGGTGCATGCTGTTTCCGTTGACCATCCTTGAAAGTCCACCTGTGGTCAATTCAATTGGTTGGACATGATTTGGAAAGGCACACACCTGTCTATATAAGGTCCCAGAGTTGACAGTGCATGTCAGAACAAAAACCAAGCCATGTGATCGAAGGAATTGTCCTTAGCACTCCAAGACAGGATTGTCTTCATGGAGCTGGTCGCCCGGCCAAACTGAGCAATCGGGGGAGAAGGGCCTTGGTCAGGGAGGTGACCAAGATCCCAATGATCACGCTGACAGAGCTCCAGAGTTCCTCTGTGGAGATGGGAGAACCTTCCAGAAGGACAACCATCTCTGCAGAACTCCACCAATCAGGCCTTTATGGTAGAGTGGCCAGACAGAAGCCACTCCTCAGTAAAAGGCACATGACTGCCCGCTTGGAGTTTGCCAAAAGGCACCTAAAGGACTCTCAGACCATGAGAAACTTCTCTGGTCTGATGAAACCAAGATTGAACTCTTTGGCCTGAATGCCAAGCATCACATCTGGAGGAAACCTGGCCCCATCCCTACGGTGAAGCATTTTGGTGGTGCATCATGCTGTAGGGATGTTTTTCAGTGGCAGGGACTGGGAGACTAATCAGGATCGAGGGAAAGATGAACGGAGCAAAAAACAGAGAGATCCTTGATGAAAACCTGCTCCAGAGTGCTCAGGCCCTCAGACTGGGGCGAAGGTTCACCTTCCAACAGGACAACGACCCTAAGCACACAGCCAAGTCAACGCAGGAGTGGATTTGGGACGAGTCTCTGAATGTCCTTGAGTGGCCCAGCCAGAGCCCAGACTTGAACTCGACCGAACATCTCTGGAGAGACCTGAAAATCTGCAGAGAAGAATGGGACAATCTCCCAAATACAGGTGTGCAAAGCTTGTAGCGTCATACCCAAGAAGACTCGAGGCTGTAATCACTGCCAAAGGTGCTTCAACAAAGTACTGAGTAAAGGGTCTGAATACTTATGTAAATGTTAATTTCCATTTTATTATTTATTATAAATTCAAAAAAAATTATAAAAACCAGTTTTTGCTTCGTCTTTATGGGGTATTGTGTGTAGATTGATGAGGGGAAAAAACTATTGAATCCAATTTAGAATAAGTATGTAACGTAACAAAATATGGAAAGAGTCAAGGGGTTTCTCAACGAGTGCAAACTGGTATTTACGACTTCACAACTGGTAAATACCACCTTCCCACTTGGTTAACGACGCAGCATCACTCCTACCCCAACACAGGTGTCATGTTTTTAATGTCAAAGTGTAATGATGACTATTTGTGCTTCATAATTGACTCACACTCATACAGCAACTGAAATTCAATGACCTTAATATTTAAAAGAAGGGCAGTCGAAGCAGAATAAAGTGACAACACAGAATATACAATCAGAGTAGGCCTACAATATTACATGAGCATCGTGCCATCTTAAACTAACACACTATCCTGATAGTATAACCTCTGTATAAAAACATGTCATAATTACCAACAACTATGTATATGGATTATATAGTTATTAGTTATAAATAAAGTGTTATGTTGTAGAATTTAGTTTGAAGGTAGGTAGAGTAAGGGCTTTATTAGGCTTTATTCATTACTTTTAATGTATAATTAAGTCAGTCTATCTGTGTTGACTGTGTAATTTCTACAGTTTATTCCTCTATTGCAGTTTAGAGCTACTTGCTCTATTACCATTAGGTTATTTTGATAAACCTCATTGTTTCTTGCTAGAAACGATAAAAAAATAACAACAAAAATAACAAGCCCAACAACAAATACAAATGGTGGTGTCTGGCGACCTGTAAGATAGTAGCAAACATAAAAAGCTGTATGTTAGTTAGCTATAGTAAAGTACAATTATCAAAATAGAGTCAATGTTTCTGAAATGCAAACAATATAACCTCTGTATAAAAACATGTCATAATTACCAACAACTATGTATATGGATTATATAGTTATTAGTTATAAATAAAGTGTTATGTTGTAGAATTTAGTTTGAATTAATGGTGGACTTACAACGACTGACTGCAGATCCAGATTCAGTCTGTAAAAGAAAGAAAGATTAAAACGTTATCTTTAGTTCTCATAGTACATCATTAACAAAGTGAAATTCAAAATGGTGGTGATGAGTAAATACCACAGGATGTATATTAAGCTTCTTCAGAATATCTTTGACTGCTGCTTCATTGCGATGACACTCCAGTAGTCCTCCTTGGTTCTCATGGAAGAGACAGTCCACTGTGAGTATTACATCACCTCTGGTCACTAGTCTGCTGCTGTCAGGTACGGTGTAGTCTGGGTTGAAGGTGTGATGCAGCACTACCAGAATTACAGGTTTACCAACTGTCAAAAAGAAAACAAAATACACATCACCTCATTACCATTTTATTTTGTTTGCCTATTTTTCCATTCATTTTGGAGGGATTGATTCTGCCTTGACTAAATTACCTGGAATCTGCTGCAGTGCTGCCTCAATATCAGTACCAGCACGAGAGACAATGGGACAGAAAGCCATGATGAAATCACTCTGCTCTGGTGACATCACTTCAGTGAAGCCTCCTCCAAGTTGTCTCGTAAACTGGATATGAGAACCCATAGTATTGCCAGTGGTGATGGTGTAGTATTTAATCAACCTTGGCACCTCTGTTTTGTAATGGACAAAAAATAGAAAAGTCAAGTATAGACCTTAAAACTAAAAGTAGAAATGTTTTGGTTTAGATCACTGCCCAGACAGATATAAGCCTAACCTAAGATCTGGCCTTAAACATTATTTAAATAAGTGGAAGGCCTGTGTCCTGTTAAAATAATTACCTCCGTGTTCCATTTTGGATCTGTAAGGGGAGTGAACAGGGAAAAAATATTTATTAATCATGTAACAGACAATAAAATACATATCTTACTGTATAATATAACAACCAGTGTGCAGACAATGTAAATATTGACATTTACATTTTTTACATTTTCGTCATTTAGCAGACGCTCTTATCCAGAGCGACTTACAAATTGGTGCATTCACCTTATGATAGCCAGTGGGACAACCACTTTACATCATAGTCATCTTTCACTTTCATTCTGACTATGACAGTTCCCTCTGAGATAATCTATGCAGTCTCCCACCCACCTCCCTACTTGGCACCCCTCTTGCCTTTATCTGAACATGTGATCTACAGGAAACAAGAAAGTGAAAGTGAATTGCTCACATCTATTTTACACTCATGTAATTAGCATCATAAAACCCATTATATTTCCATGTCTGCACCAGTAGCCTATACACACCACATCAATTTTACTTATTGATAAATCATAGTGGTGTTAAATAAGATAACTCAACGAAGGATGAATAATGAGCAATGCATGAGTTTTCAGACAGGTGCACTCCTAAGAACAACTAATCTGCATCATAATGGCTGCATTTACACAGGCAGACCAATTCTGATGTTTTGGCCATTTATTGACAAAAGAGCTGATCTGATTGTTCAAAAGACCAATTAGCGGAAAAAGATTAGTATTGGGCCGCCTGTGTAAATGCAGTCAATGATGCCATTAATTATTCTGTGTGCCTATCAATTCGGAAATTATATTATCTGTCTTCGTTGTTTAAGTCTGGATATCAATTGAACGAACAATACACAGATCAGATCTGCCTTTAACTCTATCATGTGTAAGTTAGTGCTAAATGTAAAGAGGAAAATGTACTTACTGAACCATAATAGTGTGTGAATTTCTTTGGATGATGACTATTGAAAGACAATCAGACTATGTTCCTTGATGCCCAGAGGAAAGTGAAATACACAGCTTGAGGGAAAAGGGGAGGGGAGATGATTTTATCAGAAACAGTTTCACTTTCATATTGAAGAGACATTATAGAAGGCTTTTAAAACTGCAGCATCACCTGTTTTAATCAACTGGCATTTGGTTAAAGACTGGTATGCCATAGTGAACCATTAGCCTCTAAAACAACCTAAAAAGCCTCTTTAACATTCATTGTAAAAGTAAAAAAAAAAGAAGAAAAAAAAAGGGATATAACATGTCACCAACGCTATGAGTATTATTCATACAGAAATCACATCCAGTATTGTTAGACACTGTCTCTGGACCAGCTATAAGGCTTGGGGACCATGTAGGGGAATGCATGTTTTGCATCTGCTCAACACAAAACCTGTTCCTACTGGTTGGCCGCAAGAAGCTGCCCCTTTTACTGTCATGGTGAATGAGATGAGAATCTCATTTGTTGTCTCTGCAAAGAGGGCGTTTCAGGAATGAAGTAATCTCGAAGAGGGTATGCAATATGGAGAACTGATACTGTAGTGTTTGTTGTTGCCAGAAGATACCGACTACAGTTGCGCTTGTTTACACTAGCTGCACTGAGGTCGGCACGCAATCATTGTTATATCAAGACACCGTGAAGCCGGCGGCAGATATTGGTCAGAAAATGTACCTCAATGCAGGGATGGGATATGCCACTGTACTCCAACTGTTACTTTTATCCACATTGCTCCATCGAGAAGATTGAAATACTGCTAGTTTTCCCAGAAACGTCCCTTTTCGTCCTCATGCTAGCTACCACTAGCCACAGCAGCCATTATGGAATGGCACGTAGCGTTGAACAACAAAGGAGCTGATTGGCTGACACTGCCATTCTAAATGGCTGTGGTGGCTACTGCTATCTAGCATGAGGACGAAAAGGGCAGTCTTCTGTAAAACTAGCAGTATTTCTATCTTCTCGATATATCAGTGTGAAAAAGGTAAAATTTTGAGTACAGTGGCGTATACTAGGATTGTGCCGAGTAGTCGGACAAAACAAGTATCGTAACGGATATGGGCAATTTTGTGTATAACTCAACTGGCTGTCTGTAAAGAGAAGGGAGGGCTGTACGTTGATCCTGCTGCTCTGATTGGATAGAGTGAAGCTGTATTTCTCCAGCCACTTGCTTCATCTTCACCATTTGCTTGTGGACTTCAGTGCACATAACATCAGCTGTCTGTGACCAGGATAAAAAAATTCCCAAGCCAAACCTTCATATCATGAACGCTAATCACTACACACAGCCTACATCGTTGTCAAATCATAGTCAATGAGATCTACTAGAACTAACGCGTTAGTAAACCCGTACAGTGTACAGTGTACAGTGTACAGTCAAAAAGCAACTTTGCACCGGCGGGCCTCGGTGGCAATAAATTAATAAAACCCAAAGATTACCTTGACTTAGAAGAGTTCCAGTGTTGGATAGCCATATCCAGATAGCTAACATAGCATCCCTCTCTGTTTGAGCTGGGTGTTTGAGTAGACTAAACTAGCTAGCTGCATTCACTAGCTAAGTGAAATTGAAAGTTTAAAAGAATACAACCAACAAATACAGCTATCTCTCTCTCTCTCTCTCTCTCTCTCTCTCCTCTCTCTCTCCTCTCTCTCTCTCTCCTCTCTCTCTCTCTCTCTCCTCTCTCTCTCTCTCTCGTCTCTCTCTCTCTCTCTCTCTCTCTCTCTCTCTCTCTCTCTCTCTCTCTCTCTCTTGCTTCTCCTTCATTTTGGAAGAAATTAATTTGTTCAAAACTGTTCAACTATTGTCTTTCTCTCTCTTTGAGTCAGCTACTCACAACATTTTATGCACTGCAGTGCTAGCTAGCTATAGCTTATGCTTTCAGTACTAGATTCATTCTCTGATCCTTTGATTGGGTGGACAACATGTCAGTTCATGCTGCAAGAGCTGTAATAGGTTGGAGGACGTACACAGTCATAATTACTGTGTACGTTTATGGAAGGGGGTGGGAACCATGAGCCTCCTAGGTTTTAGTATTGAAGTCAATGTACCCAGAGGAGGACATAAGTTAGCTGTCCTCCGGCTACACCATGGTGCTACCCTACAGAGTCTGCTGCTGAGGCTACTGCAGACCTTCATTGCAAAACAGTTTGTTTCAATAAATTATTTTGTGACGTGAATATATTTAGTGTAGTTTTATCTAAAAATATAAACTTTTTTAGAGTTCCACAATTTTTATTTTTATGAAATTCACTGTGGATGATGATCCTCCCCTACCTCCACTGAGGAGCCTCCACTGCCTGCTGCTATGATACATCACATGGCAAGAACGTTTGCTATCAAGCTATCAATGTGCATAATAAAATATGAAATGCTGATGCGCATTCTGACTAAGTGACAGCAAACATGGCAGCCCACTGCAAATTGAGCACACACACACGTACCCCTCCGCGTGCTGCTCCTAATCTGCAGATTTTTTGCAGTGAGAATGTGCATGGAGGTATTTTGCCAACATCTACTTAGACATATTAAAACAGATTAGTTTTTTCAGATCACGACTGTCATCCGATCCGATATGACTATCAACTGTCAATTTACGGATACGATTACGAATACGAGTATGGCCATGTCGGCACACCCCTAGCATATACCATCACCCCTAACATATACCATCACCCCTAACATATACCATCACCCCTAACATATACCATCACCCCTAACATATACCATCACCCCTAGCATATAACATCACCCCTAGCATATACCATCACCCCTAGCATATAACATCACCCCTAGCATATACCATCACCCCTAACATATACCATCACCCCTAACATATACCATCACCCCTAACATATACCATCACCCCTAGCATATACCATCACCCCTAGCATATAACATCACCCCTAACATATACCATCACCCCTAGCATATAACATCACCCCTAGCATATACCATCACCCCTAGCATATACCATCACCCCTAGCATATACCATCACCCCTAACATATACCATCACCCCTAACATATACCATCACCCCTAACATATACCATCACCCCTAGCATATACCATCACCCCTAGCATATAACATCACCCCTAACATATACCATCACCCCTAGCATATACCATCACCCCTAGCATATACCATCACCCCTAACATATACCATCACCCCTAACATATACCATCACCCCTAACATATACCATCACCCCTAGCATATACCATCACCCCTAGCATATACCATCACCCCTAGCATATACCATCCCTATGTTTCCTACCCATGTCTCACGCCGTCTCCACTGTGTCTTAATGTAACATTGATTGCGTTCTGACCTCAGTGCAGCTCAGTGTAAACAAGCTTAACGGTAGGGTTGGCATCTTCTGGCAATGTTTGTCTGGGCAATATTTTTCATAAGTAGATAGCCTATTGGAAATATCAGCATAGCCATTTGATGGTCTCTCTATTCAAATGACCAAATGCAAACACTGGTTGTTGTCAGGTGGAAATGACAGAGGGGGACTCAAACAGGGAGAAATGGCAGCTAACCTTGCTAAGGGAAGTGTACAGTATGGGTAGACATTTCACAATGTAAGTGCATCAAACCATTAAATCAGTAGGTGGCTACATTGTAGCCAAGTTGTTTGAGCGCGTGTAGTGCACGGTTAGAAAGGTTACATTATATCAGCATCCAGAGTGTAGATTTGCTGCAATGTCGCTGCAAGGCAAGCATTCCCCTGTTTTGTGTGGCTATCCGTGGACAATGATTGTGGCTGGGGCTCTAGAAACACTGCTACTGCTACACTGCTCGAGTAGGCTACAATACTACACTGCTGCACTGAATAAAACAGAACCAAGGAGTTCATATTACCTTTGGATTCACACGCAGGCTAATCCTGTGTTCATAAGGGTTGGTATACCACGTCATTCTTATTCTATGTGGACATCAAAATACAGTGTCCTACTACCAGAATAGATGTTGATCTCCAGACAGAAATCATATTGAAGCCCTTTTGACAAGTATGTGATAGTGCTGATGTCTATTGCATGCACTATGTCTTAGAATAATTCAGGCC